TGGTTCCCAAAGCACGCTGGGTCCAAGTTTTCGGGACCCATAAGTCCTTTCGGTCATTGTACCGTTACAGTCTCTAAGCGTGGAGACGGAACGGACGAGCGAGAGACTTTGGAAGAGTCTAAGGAACTATCAGAAAAAATTACTCTGTTATTTTCGTCTGTTGAAATACTTAGATTTTTATAGAAAATTTCGAATAAAATATTGTCAGATGTAATGAAGCCGAAGTTAAAAGCTRAGCTGTCGTCCGCAATCCTGTCCGCTGACCAAGCCACATTCATTACCAGGCTTCTCTCTTCCTCATAAACCAAAATGGCGGACGAATCGAACCAAAAGGCCGCTACTGTTGCTGATCAAAATCACGGGAATGCATACACTAGACAAAGTACAAAGGACTTATCTACAGAGGAAAAGAAACAGCATCAAACCTGCTTGGATAGAGTGGAATCGTCATGTAAAAATTGTAAGTCTAGTAGGACAAAAAGATTTGTTTTTCACTGCCCGTTCACTTGAATTTTCGCAAATTTTTCACTAGGATTTGTTGTTTGATTCGCTTTTTTAAAATGTTTTTTCAGCGGCTTACGTACGATTTATGTTACAAGCTATGAACAAACTTGGCTGGTAAGAAATGAATATATTTGTACTTTATTGAGGAAGGACTCAAGCTCCAGCAAACTTAATAGGTATGTTGTTTATAGTACTATAGATCCTGCAAAACATATCATCTGTGAACCTTGTGATGGCCGACTGCTTGGAGGATTTGACCCTGATCGAAAAGAGGTACTGTAATTTAAGAAATGATTGCTATACCCTCCACCCCTCCCCCCCTCAAAAATGATGTGGTATGGTGTATTCTGCTTTTATGGTTAAATGAGGTATGGTATGTTATATGTTACCTCTCTGAGATGCACAGAGTAGTCATGAGCTAACTAAATGACAAAAAAATGGTTGTGAGAGTCGAGAGAGGTTGTCCATCAGCTATGGTGGAATGTTATCAGGCAAGACATAATGCAATGTGGCAAGGTATTTGTGATAAAGTGATTTGCTGGTTGTTGGATAGGTGGGTTGCGATGTGTTTTGTTCTAGTGGAGTATATTGTGGTGTTTTAAGTTTTTCCATGGTGGGGTTTTGATATGAAGTATGCTGAGATGGATTGAAATGGGCTGGGTGGTATGAGGTGTGGTGTGAATCATGCCACACAAACTTCTAAATACCCAAGGCAAGGGTCTGATGCTATTTCTGATTTCCATTAAAGTCTTCTCCTATTTTCTAAATTAAAGATGTTTTTATGTGAGAATACCATCTACAACCAGCAAGCAATGGATGATGTGCTAACTCATGAACTTATTCACGCTTACGATTATTGTAAAGTTAAATATGATCCTGACAATCTCAAGCATCTTGCTTGTACAGAGGTAAAATTTATTGTACATGTATATTAGCCATTCTGTGGTTCAGTAAAAGACCGGGTCGAGTTGAATCTGCAGTGCATTTTGGGAATGCTTTAGGGAACAAGAGATGCCTCGGATCTCAGAAATATATTCCCTAAAAGTCCCATAATGCATTGTAATGCCAACTCGATCCTCTCTTTTACCCAACCTTGGAATGGCCTATTCACTTTAAAACTAAAATGATTTTATCAGATACGTTCTCAGGGTTCCAATTTTCTTTAGAATGGTTTAATTTATTTAACCTGTGAAACAAAACTGCCTTGTTAATGTGTATTGGTAATAGTCAAATAGACACACAAGAAAAAAAAAGAATTTTCCATTAATTATGTGTTTCATTGAAACCCTAGTTTGCAAGTACATTTACTTTATATCATATAACTCGAAACAAATCCCTGTTGTTTTTTTTTGTTTTTGTTTTTGTTTTTTTGTTGTTTTTTTTTTTCAGATAAGAGCAGCAAATCTTAGTGGAGACTGCTTCTTTTGGAAGGAAAATTTTGTGCGATTTAAATTGAAATGGAAGGGTCATCAACAGGTAAAAGTAACTTAYAAGAATGTAATTTTCTATCAAGTAACAAGAAAGTACAACTAACAAGTTTGGTTCTTTTCCATTTTAGAAATGTGTCAAAACGCRAGCTGTAAATTCTATACTAGCAGTCAGAGATGTAAGCAGAGAAGAAGCAGAATCAGTAGTCAATAGTGTATTTAATGCTTGTTTTAATGACACAGATCCTTTCGATCGTATACCTCCATGATGACCATGTTTTATATGATGAATTACAGTACTGTACTCAATATAAAATAATGTATATGGATGTACTAGGGTTTTATTAAAATTATAATGAAATTAATGCAATATTTTTCAAGGTGGTTGATTTTATTTCACATTTCAAATAATAGAGTACGATTCCTAACTTATCAGTAGTCATAACTGCAAGTTGTAGTCGTAGTACTGTATATTGAAAGAAAATTGAAAAAAAAAAATGCAGAAGGAGTAGGGAGTCGATATTGTGTTTTTAGTGGTCCATAGATTTTTGTAAAGGTATAATATAAAGAGCATTCTTTGCATCTTTTGTTCTCCACCATCGACCAAGACGGTGTTCCTGGCCAACACCAGCAAAAAGCATTTCTCCATCACTGGAAAATGCTAAGGAATTTACAAAACCAACCTAAAGAAAGAAAATATTTTTACATCCAAAAATGTTGAGGGAAAATAAAAAATTTTGCCAGAAAGGAGTCAGATGTACATACCATTGGTATGGTGAAAAGAGGGGTTAGACTTCTATAACCTGGACCACATTTCCATAGTCGAATACAAGAATCACAAGATCCTGCTGATGAAAGGAAGGAATTTGTGAGTTTCTACTCTTAAAATACATGTAAAAATCTTCCTGGATTTTTAAGAGTAGCACTTAGTGCATTCTACATAGCTAATGAGTAATAAAGCTGCGGCTCTTGCTCCATAGTCAAATGGACCCTTCTCAAAGGTATCGTGGATGCGAGGCTAAAATGGAAATACAAAAGAAATCATACTTTTTCTCGATGGAATTCGTGGCATTTCTTTTGTATTTCCATGTTAGCCTGTACRTAGATTAATTTGAAGAAGGGTCCATTGCATTTAGTACATCGTAGTTGATTTTTGCAAATGATGTCCACTAATAGATACAATGAGTCCAAGAATCAAACCTGTGTTGCATTGGTGAGAAGGGAGCTCTCTCACTATAATGCCACCAAGGCTTCCCATCAAGAGATGGTGTATTTATAGCATACATGTACACACTACTAATGCTTCCCAAAGAAGTGTTGTTACTCTACTAGACTCAATGATAGTTCAATAGTCAACGGTGGTTATAAGCAGCCTACCTGAGGCAACAAGATCAGTGCTCTTGACGGCCGCAACTGCTGTAATCCATGTCTCATCAGGTATGTTATCATTTTGGTCATCTTTACTCTTGCCATGTGCATTATTTACATTACATAAGGGCTTCTTTTTACTGGAACTCCAMAGGGAAATTGACCTGAAATTATGCCATTTAACAAAATTATTCCTTTCCCTTAACACATACAGTAATGTTCTTCCTCTAATGTGATACATAATGGAAAAATACTAAAGCAAAAATACTCATCTTACCCATCATCTGCTCCTGTTATCATGTGGTCCTCATTGATCAACTGAACACAATCTACTGATCCTCTAGAAAAACACATCAAAGACAAAACATCAAATCAATATACCTTCAGCTGATCTGAGAAATAATGTTAGCCAATCAGAATAAAAAAAAAACTGARATGTCGCTTTTCCTCCTGAAATTATGGAATTACAAGATACCAAAAGAAAAAAGAAATTAAAGAAAACATTTCCTAATAAGCAATATTGATAACAGTAACACATGATGAGTTATATATTGTTATTGTAATGGCGGGCACGTCTTTACTTTTCRYTGTTAAATTTTCGCTGGAATGACAGCTCAGTTTTGCAGTGACATCATTTTTTACATCACTATTTCAGATCAGCTGGCTAACAGATGTTGAAGATATAACTCACCCGTCAACATTAATAACTAACTGCGTCTCCTCAACAACCTTCCATATTCTTAAAGATCTGTCACGTCCACCTGTCGTAACTGCTCTATCCCTTGACAAGCTGTCAATTCCGGTCACTCCATCTTGGTGGCCATACCTGTGATGTCATAAAAAAATAATTTATCATTAACACAGCACAACTCACAAAAGTATGACCACATTTATTGTACTGTATTGTCGTACTGTACTTCTACATGAAGCTGCCTGTTTTTACTAAATGAGGCATGTAAAAGCTCGTTTSGCAGCAAAAAGCCATGGTTAGTTAGAAAATATACATTTATTCCACATGGTAGCACATTTTACATGTCTTTTAGATTTCATACTAAGATTCACCAAGAACTATCTACTGTAGGATCCTGTGCTACTTTCACCACAGGTAGCCCAGATACAACATTGTTACTTACAATGTCTCTACATAAGCCATCTCATCTAGATTCCATATTTTAACAGTTTTGTCAAGGGAGCCACTAAACAGCTGGTGAGTTCCCTTCCTGAATGCAAGGCCCTGAGATACAAGAGAAGATATTTTACATTTTACAGATCAAAATACAGGTACAGTACAATTAAAGCACAAAATAGTGGTTTTAACTTCTTGTTGGTTGTTAAGGAAATTTCTTCAGGTTATCGTGGAAGCAAAGATTATGCGAACTGATATAGCATTGACCCTTGCTGCTCTGGTCATGAGTTTGGCCCACGGAAAGAGAATCACAAGTTTGTTGGTTGTTGGCCACGAAACAAGTAAGATTTAATCTTAACATAACAGAACAATAAAGAGTTATCCATGAATTTTGAGAAGTTTCTCTAATTATCCACCAAGTACTTACAGTTAAAGTATTTCTGTGTCCATTGAATGAGTGTATATGCTTTAAGGTTTYTGGGTCATAAATATGAATGACTTTTTCTTTACCTCCAGTGGCCTGAAGAACAACAAAACTACAATCACAATTATAATTCTTAACTCCAAGTTCACTACTAATAACACTTAAAATGTATATTATTTACCAAGAATTTTCCATCTGAGGTTATAGAAATTGCCAAGATACAGCCCTTTGATGTTTTGCTGTCCTTGGTGCCAGCTATTTTACCAACTTTCTTTCCATTTTCAACATCCCCTGATGAAGAACAGAATGTTTCTTAGAATAGTTACAAAATTATATTCTGGTCAACCCTCTCAAGGGAGGGTACTTGGAATAGGGTACATTATTAATAATAATGGACCTTAAGTTGGAGGATGGCAACAGCAGCAAGCAAATAATAGCACTAATTGTGATTTTCAATAGACGYTTGCTGGAACATACAAAACATTATTGTACATCATTGCTTTTGTGTCCTTATCTAGAAGAACAAAGATCTCGTCTGGTGACCTATGGTGACAGATCTTTTTAYGTTGCTGGCCCTAAACTGTGGAATGACCTCCCACTTCMAATTAGGAAAASTTCTTCAATCCAATTATTYAAAAATGAACTGAAAACTCATTTGTTCAAGAACTTTGTCTCCTCTGGTTCAAAGTGAACATCAATGAACTATGACATTTCATTAATATTGTAACATRCGTCTGGTATTCATTTTATTTCTTATTGTGAAGCGCCATGAATTTTGATATGTGCGCTATATAAGTTCCATTATTATTATTATTAAAGTACAGCGTGAATGGACCACATGACTGATATCGAATGATTTGCCTTTGGCCAGACATTTCAAAAAGCACATACTGTATTTTCATCCCTTTTTACATTTGATTGAGCTGATTATGGAGTGTCTGATATTACTTTTTCCATTACTTTGACTTACATTTAATAACAGAACAATCCTTTGATCCAGTAAAGACAAACTTATCATCAGGAGAAACACAAAGRCAGGTGATAGGTAATTGATGGCCACGTAAAACTCGTACCAGTGAGGGAAGAGGAGGAGAAAACTAAAAGGAAAACACAGGTTGCTTTAATCATTTTAATGTTAATTTTACTTGGTGAAACAAATGCTTTGCATATATATAGGCAATCATCTTGCTTGTGCAGCTTAGTCCTCTTCACTCCCTTGGGAACAAAGGCCCTTCGTTTGTTTATACAGAGGTGAAATTTCATGTATTAGCCATATTCTGAAGTTGAGTAAAATACTGTATTGAGTTGTATTTGTAGTGCATTTTGGGAGTGTTTTAGGGAACAAATAAGSCATCATCTTGGGAAATGTGGCCCCTAAAACAGTCCCATAATGCACTGGATGCCAAATCAACCCAGTTTTTCCCTCAACGTTAGAATGTGAATATGTTTCTTTGGGCCAAAAGTTAATATATGAAAAGAATGACTAGAAGTTTTTTGAGTAAGATATTTCAGACAATATCCATCGTCCATCATCAGTTTAATGACTCACTATAAGTGTATTACAGTGAAATACTATAAAGCCTTAGGGACTAATACGTATTAATGAAGTACTGTAAACCCTAGGGACTAATATGCATGCATAGGTATTGTTCAATTTAATAGCTTTAGAGCGACAGATTGTCGTTGTTCGTTTAAGTCTGGTTTTTGTTCTTTAATTAGGATGGCTTCAGATATTTTTCGTTTTTGCCAAGGATAATTTTCAGCAAGTACTTGGAAGTTGTCCTGATCAAATGTTAGAATAGCTATAATACTTTAATTAGTGGTTAGTTAATAATCTTACTTTATCAGCAATCTGTTTTTGGAATTTACCACTCTGTTCGATCTGTGACAAGAAAAGATGTGAAAGATAGTTCATTAGGACAAAAACTGCAAAATCATTCCCTAAAAACACAAATATAATTATGGACTCACTAGATCTTGCTGAAGTCTGTGGGATACTGCGTCATGGTCRATGTCTTGTGATTCATTTTTTTGTCTCTCTACAAAACAATAATTTATTAACTTTATTTTGTAAGAACATTTAGTCTTCCTTGCTGTGTAGAAATACACGTATCTAATGTGTAGTTCCAGAAATTATCCATGTCCCCCACCCAACCCTTTCCCACAGAAGAATTTGCAAATTCTGAGGAGTGGGGGGGGGAGTCATAGAGAGAACCAAGTTTTTATGGAAAAAAATTGGAATTTCTGGGGGTAGGGAGGGGGGTCTGAAAAAAAATTCCTCCATGGGGGAAGGAGGATACAACGGGACAGGGTAAATTTTGGAACTACAAAATGGTAATTCTGGTCCAAGAGTTTGGGATGGGGTTGCCAGGATGGATATTTTCGGAAGATACACACACACTTTATACATCCCTCTAATACCATTAGTGGATTAAGTCGGCAAGGGCTTGCAATAACTTAAATAAAGAGTTTAGAACTTTTTCATGACACAAGAAATAGTAATTTTTTTTTTCTTGTGTCCTTATCAAAAGTTCAAAGTTCTTTTATATTAGTCCTAAAATCCAACACAAATGAGTATCTAAAGGTTACCTTCTTCTTCTAGTTGTGCTAAGTACTGTTTTGATAATCTTATTTTCTTTTCTTGAGCTGTTTCACTCTCATCACTCTCATACTTCTCATCATTACCAGAGTCATGATCACTGGATATACAAGAGGAAATAAATCCATTAATAAGGTTGGTAGGTCAAGTCTGAGTGAATGAGTCAACTGTAATTGAGGAACGCTGTAGTCAATCATTTGGAACTCGAAAAAGGTATTATACCAGTACACACACATTGTCAAACTAACAAGGGCAAGTGTGTGTGTGTTGGATAACACTGCAGATCAATCCTCAGTCATCTATATATATACTTATTTATAGTTGAGGAATACACCAGCTACATGTACCAGTATGGATCTGATTTTCAAATCAGTATTATATACTGTACAGGTACCTTGCAGAATCTATATCACTCTCTAGCTCTGCATCATCACAAACTTGTTTTGTAGCTTGCTTTGCTTTACTTGTTTTCTTGGCTTTCGGGCCAGAGGTCTACAAAAGATAAAGTAATCTCATCAAYGACAGTAATTCACAGTAAAATAATTTATTTAATTAAACGTCAGTTAAATGGTTCCTTTTCAATGTGTATTTAAATATGTAAGATTTTGAGAATAAACATTTGACGCAAATCCTGACAAAATACAATGTATCGCTAAATATTTAGTAGTAAAGAAGTTCTGATAACTAGAAAAGATAAATAATAAGGAATAGATTCGAGTTTGAAAATTGATGAACAGCTGTGCACRTGTTCCACGTGAGATCGACAATTTCATCAACATAAACAATCAAAATAACGACTAATGAATGAGATGTAAGGATAATATTTTCACAGATTAATACTAAAACCATTAATAGATAGCATGCTGACCTTTGATGGTTTGTTTGCTCGTTTTCTGTTGCCTGATTTTTTATTTTCGCTGAGGAAAAAACTCGACATTTTGATGCTTCGATGATCGAGACCTCGACTGACCGAGAGGACCTGGGGACTAAAAGATACCGCTGGATAACTCGCTGTAAAGAAGAATAAATATCTATYTAACAAAACTAACTATAGAAATTAAGTAGTGGTAAATATTATTGGCATTGGTAGAGTGCTCACACTAAATCCGTGAAACAAATACTAATTTTTAGCACTAAATAGTGATAATTAAACGATAGAAAACAAAGGATTCTGTATGAAATATTACTAATTATACTATTTAATGTTCATGGTCTTAGTGCGTGCACTCTATTAATATTATTATTCAGGGTTTTTTTGAAATATATATTATTAGATTAGTTTTTACTAAATTGATTTAATGCTTATACATTAGTCATGTTTAGTAGATATATTTTTATTATAGTATATTTTACTATAGACTTTTCAATAACATTGATACAAATGTTATCTGACTGGGTTAACACCATCAACCTTACTTACTAAAATGACAAAGCATTACATAAGATATGTTCAGTACTTAGCAAAACAATTTTTTACCTCATCTTAAGGTCAATCCATTCCATGGCATGTTCTTAATATTTGCCACCATTCCTTTTTATCGGACCTACATTAGAGCATCT